TAGTACTTCTAGTAACTTGTGGTTATCTTTGTTTTATGAACGGAAAGTAAGACTGAGAGGTAAGGAACATGTGCAAGGTCACATAACAGAATTGGGTTTCAGACCCCTAAACCTATTCTCTGTTTTTTTTTTTTTCCTTCATACTAGGTTATGGAGGATCCACAAACAACTCTGCTTATTTCTTTTTTATTTCAGTCCATGTACATAAATTTTTCTTTCCCTAATATTTAGAGTACCTTCTCAAAATTCTGAAACTACCTTTTGAAATCATCCCCAACAAATTCAAACAGACTTCTTTTTATTTTATTTATTTATTTTTTAATTTTATTATTCATATGTGCATACAAGACTTGGGTCATTTCTCCCCACCAGACTTCTTTTTAGATGAAAATAATGGAAGCATGGGATGGACATAAATATTTGTTAGTGCTTTTAAATCTCAGCTATTAGTTGAATGCCACATAAAAAATATGTGTTAAAAAATGGATATGTGAAGCTAATTGAAAACTGATAAGTCAAATATATGTAAGCCTTTTTGATGAGTGATAGAATTTTTCTGCTCTGTTCTTCTGTTGAATGCTTGGTAATCAAGATCTAGAATGTAGATTAGTGTGGTCAGCCAGGTTTATCAGGCACAAAATGCTAATCAAATTTTTCTCCTGACTATAAAATAGTGGGGATATGTGGCCTTTTCCTTAACAAAATGTGAACATATTTCTGTGTTATTAAATAGTCATTAAAAAATGTTTCTTCCAAGATTCCATTTCAGGGATACAATACAGTGTATTTTTTTTCTATTGTTAAACATTTGGAATTACTTTTTCCACAATATAAAAACATAGTGATGAACACTGGCACATAAATGTTTGTTACAGCTTTCTTTTTCTTTTTTTTTTAGCTGCTGGGGATTGAACCCAGTCTTATTAGTGAACATTCACTCTACCTCTGAGATATATCCCCAACCCCTTGTCCTTATTTCTGATTGTTTTCTTAACATTAATTTTGGAAAGTAAAAGAGGTATATCATAGTATGAACATATCTCAATGTACAATTTAAAAAACATCTTTTCCAAAGTTATTTTTCTTTTCTTGCATAGTGGAGTGAAGTTCTTGAGGATAAGAGGCTGTTCTTTGCATATCAGCAAGTGGGAAATTGTCTGCCCTAGCTAACTTCTCCTGAGCTGCTTTTGCCTGCTATGACTATTGGTTCTTAAGAAGAGGGACAAAAATCTTAAGAATTCTCTGAAGGACTAGATGTAAGTAATACAATTTGCTGAATTACTAAGGTTCTCAGTTATTGAAACTCATAATGTAGATACTATATGACACTTTTCTTATTTAATTAAAATTAAAGATTTTCTTTATAACCTGTAGGGAAAAGTTCTATTACTTATAATTTTTTTATTATAATTGGATATGACATGCAGTTGTAGGAACTATATATGCATTCCTGGTCAATCATATCACCTGTTTTGCTTACTTTCCTGATAAATGAACTGTGTAACAGGTTTGCATTTAGCAGTCAGTTTTTTCCACAAAGTTCTTGAATTTTTGACAGAATATTTGAGAATAACTATTAGAATGCTTGTACAATGTTTTGTGTTTTACAAATGTCTTGATTACCTTTTAAAGTTTTAGTTACTGGAATTTTTTTTTCTTTGCCTAGTTATAATAACATTACTGTAAAATTATAGTATGTCAGTTAGCTCCAGAAGTTGAGGTTCAAATTCTGAAGGATAGTACTTGGAAAATTATTAATTAGGATTGGCAAACATTAATGGAACAATTTAGTTGTTATGGTTCAATGAGCAGTGTTTCTTAGAATTTGTTCCAATTGTCAGCTGAAAGGAGTTGTCACTTGCTGTGTCCCGAAGCACATACTGGAATAGTAGTGCATTCTTGGAGTGCATAAAATAAATTAAAAAAAAAATTAAACTGACACAGTTTAATTTAAATTAAGCCTTAAATAAGAAGTTTGTAGTATTTTGAAAACTTAAAAATTATTTTATGTGGTATTTTGGAGGTATAGCAAAAGAAAAGTAATACTTAACCATAATACTGCTATTTTGAAACTATCACAAAGATAAAAGTAGTAGATGATTTTTTTTACATTTTAGTTGACTGTGTAGATGAAATAATTTAGAATGACAAGGTAAACTTTTATATGAAATCTGACAAAAGTCTTCATTTCACTAACAGAATGGTCATTTAAATTTTATATGTAAGTGGGTTTTATATGCAAAGGATGGACTAGCTGTACTTGCTCTTTGCACTTAACAGGGTCTAGAAAATGGTATAGGAATAGAAATTAGCAGGGTTTATATTTTAGGTTTGGGTAGGATGTTTGGTATGACCTGTATGCCTCAATGCATCATCTCTCGGATAGATAATACTGTTTCTATTACAGATTATAATTTTGGGATTTAGATAATGCTACACATATAAAAAGTATTCTGAAAAAAATTAAAATCTTACAAATAATAATTTATTTTTATCAAACCCTTATCTTCAGTTCTGTGTATATATATCTCTACCTGCTGGGATATAGAATTAGTATCTCGGAAATTCATCCTTGTTCATTTTTTGTCCAGCCTTGACCTTTTCAGTTCATACCAATCTTCCTTTCTTACTGGTTCATTCCTCCTGAAGATTTCAATAGTATTATGTCCTGGTATTTTGACAGATTCTGGTAGAAGATAGCATTTGTGTTATATGACTGCATGTAACTTTTTTCCTGGGCTGGCCTCAAACTGCATTCCTTTTGAATAGCCAGGATTAACGGTTTGAACCACCTTATCCAGCTAACAGCTAACATTCAGGTTTTTTTTTTTTTGTGGGGCTGAAGTTTGAACTCAGGACTTCCCACTTGCAAAGCAGGTGCTCTGCCACTTGAGCCACACTTCCAGTCTGATTTTGCTCTGGTTATTTTGGAGATTAGATCTCGTGAACTGCTTTCCTGGGTTGGCCTTGAACCATGATACTCCTGATCTCAGATTCCTAAGTAGTATGGAACAGGCATGAGCCACTGGTGCACAACTGACATTCAAGTTTTTAATGAGCATAAAAAGTATTCACATGCAGAACTGTTTTCCAAAATGACTGTGCCATTTTGCAGCAGTGACGAGAATTCTAGTAGTTGGTATTGTCAGTTATGTTTTAGTTTTAACATTTCCCTGGTGTTGAATAATACTCAGCATTATTTCATGTGTTTATGTTGGTTTATTTTTTTGTGAATTATCTGTTCTTTTGCTCATTTTAAAATTTGTTTTCTTACTAAATTTTAAAAATTCTTTATATGGTTAGAAGCCTGTTCAATTGTATGTTTCTCCTAGTCTGTGTCTTGCTGTATGTGTGTGTGTGTCTTACTTTTTAACAGACTGTTTCACAAAGCATAAGTTGTGTACATTATATAAGATAGGTCTGTCTTTACTCTTTGCATGTAAATATTCAGTTTTCTCAGCACCGTTTGCTGGAGAGACTATCTTTTTTCCATTGTGGAAGATCATTTTCAAAGATCAATTGATCAGATAATGAGTGTTTCTTTCTGTACTTTTTTTTTTTCCTTTCTAGACTTTCTATTCTGTTCCATTGGTTTATATGTCTTTATGCTATTTTCTCCCTTTTAATCCATGTTAAGACTAGCAAGAGCTTCTAGTACAATGTTTAGGTATCTACAGTCACATCTTGCTTTGTTCCTGATCTAGAATGGTAATATTTAGTCTTTCATTCCTTTAAGTTTTCTTCTTTTAATTCCTTTTCGTTTTAAACATACATGTCCTGTGCTATTTCGTTCATTGCTAGTAGCAGTAGTAGTAATGAAAAAAACAGAACAAACGGAAGATAAAGTTAAGGAAACTTCTCCCAAAGTTAAGAAAAATCCCAAAAGTGAAACATCAGTGCAAAGAAATCATTGGAACATTGAGGACTGAAGAAATGAATCATACATATATCAAACTTTAAAGAGTTGTTTTGAAAGTGACAATCCCACAGCTGAATGTGGTGATGTACCCCTGTAATCCCAGCACTCAAGAGGTTTGATGTAGCCTGGGCTACATAAGAAGATCCTGTCTCAAAAAAAAAACCAACAAAACGAAAGGTGGGGAAGGGGAGAGGGATATAATATATAGCAATCCCTTGCCTTCCCTTCTTTTTCCTTTTTTTGGCAGAACTGGGGTTTGGAACTCAGGTCCCTTTGCTTGCTAAGCAGGTGTTCTACCACTTGAGCCATGCCCCTAGTCCTTCATCCTTCTCTTTTATTTCCCTCCCTCAGAAGCAATTTTAACATCTATAGCTGATTCTTTTTTAATTTACTTTCATAGCTCTGAAAGCATGCAAAGAGCTACTTTGCCACTTCTTGATTTTTCAGTTGTAGGCATTTTATCTGTTGATTTTTACAATGGAAATGAGGATTTAGCTCTGTCTCCACCTGTCTTACTATACCTCATCTCCATTCTCACACATTTTTCCAGCTCACTGTATAGTTAAAATTTTTATCAGATTAGTATTTAGGGTGTGTATTAGTATATCTATGTATATGATATTAGCAGCCAAGTCATATAGTATACAAATAGTAGTACTTTTGTCTATCCAGTACAACTTTTGATTTTCTCTGAGTTATCTTGTTTTTTCTTTTCCTCTTAGTATTCTGTATGTTTATTGTTAGTCTCTCACTCCTCTTGTTCTTTACATCTCCTTTTTACATTGAGAAGCATGGGTGTAAAGTAAAAAAAAGAATTATGTGAAATCCTGAAAATTGTGGTATTAACAGTTTTTTTTTTTGGTGGGGGGCCTGGGGACTGGGGTTTGAACTCAGCTTCATGCTTGCAAAGCACTGAGCTTGAGCCTTGCCTCCAGTCCATTTTGCTCTGGTTATTGTGGAAGTGGAGTTTTGAGAACCATTTGCCTAGGGGGCCTCCATTCGAGATCCTATACATCTCAGTCTCCCAAGTAGCTAGAATTACAGGTGTGAGTCACTGCTACCTAGAGGCCTTACACAATTTTTTATCCTTAAAAAATAATCTTTCCCGAGGCCCTCTGGCTGTATGCCTGTCTTTTGTGTAAGAGCCAAAATATCATGTGTTTTTCTTTCTTGTTTTATTCCTCTGTTGTTATGTTAGAGCATACCCTCTACTACAACAGTTGTTTTATAAAATGCTGGCCTGAAAATCTTCCCTGTCTTTGAACTTTTAAATTGATATCATTAGAACTAAAGTACATATAACTTAACTTTCTTCAATATAAAGATTTACTAATTCTGTAATTATAATGACCTTCACTTCCCCATCTCCTTTATTTATTTATGTATTTTTTTGTGGTACTGGGGCTTGAACTCAGGGCCTTCACCTTGAACCACTCCACCAGCCTTTTTTTTGATGGGTATTTTTGGGATAGGGTCTCACTAACTATTTGCCCTGGTAGGCTTTGAACTGCAATCCTCCTGATCTCTGCCTCCTGAGTAGCCAGGATTACAGGTGTGAGCCACCGGCACCTGCCCCTCCCTATCTCCTTTAAATTTTAACCATTCATTAAATTAATAATGTACTCAATGTTTGTAGGTTCCTGAGAGCTATATGTTTCTACATCTTTCATGGGCTGTTTAAAAAAAATATATTAATGATAGCAAGCACTTACATAGAAATTAATGTGTGTTAGAACAGAAATATAGAACTGAAAAAAGAATAGTTTAGAGGCAGTGATAAGGAGTCCATGTCACTGAAAAATATGAAAATATGGCACCTGGCAGCTTTAAGTTCAGTAATAAACTGAAGTTTACTTTCCTTACATTTCTTAGGCGTGTGCTACAGTTCTTTTCAACATTTTTTTGGGATGCAATGTAAAATAGTCTTGTCGGTACAATATGGCTTAAGGTGAGCTGTATTACAAGTTTCAGGCTTCAAGTTCCTAAAATTTCAGATAGGTGTATTATTTTCTTATTTAAAAGTTTAACAAGAACAACAACAAAATCCCATTTACTAATTTCAGGCCATTCTAGGATTTTATTCAATGTAGGAGTTGGTCATTCATTCCAAAATAGCAATAACCATAGTTTTTGAGTGACTGCTTTTTGCCAACTGTAAGTAATAGTATAGTTTACAGAGTTCTTACCATGTACTAGGTGTTGCTTTTTCCATGTTAGTTTATTCTGCATAACAAGCCTATGAGGAAATGCTATTCATCTTATTTTACAAATGGGATAAGTAAGGATACCTTGTAGTTGATTAACTTTTTCTTTTTGATGGGACTGGAGTTTGAACTCAGGGCTTTCTTTACGCTTGCAAAGCAGGTGCTATACCGCTTGAGCCACATCTAGTCCATTTTACTCTGGTTATTTTGGAGATGGGGTTTCGAGAACTATTAGCCTGGGCTGGCCTTGAATCATGATCCTCCTGATCTCAGCCTCCTAAGTAGCTAGGATTACAGGTGGTAGCCACAATTGCCCAGTACAGTTGATTAACTTTTTAAGGTCACAGGTTTGTAAGTGAATGATAGTCTGGCACCAGGGTCATCTTAAATTTTCATAGTAGCCCTATGAAGCAGAAATAAGGAAATAGATTTAGAGCAACTTTCTCAGGTACTTGTCTCTGTTCATCTCACTCTAAACCTCATGTTTTTTATTCTGTATTAGCTCTACCGTGACTGATAGCAGGAACCTCCTGAGCCATACCATCAAACTCTTGTACTCATGAAAATGGGCTAGTGATTCTATAGCTTCATTTTATAACCCTGCTTCTTATCTTACCTCTCCTGGACATTTCTGAGCAGCAGAGGTTTTGAGTACTCCATTGAACAACCAATTCTGAATCCTGTCATCAAATCCTGTGCTGTTGTGCCAAGAGGTAAGTTTTCTTATGGACATATTAAAACTTAAATCAATTCTACCTCTTAAATATCTTCATCTGTAGAAGGACAAATTAAATTTTTGTGAATATGTGATTGATTCGTATTTAATGTTTTGCTACTGCTTTATCATACTGAGAAAAATCAGAAGCTGGGTGCTGAGCACTCATGCCTATAATCCTGGCTGCTCAGGATGCAGAGATCAGGAGGATTGTGGTTTGAGGCCAGTCCCAGGCAAATGGTTCAAGAGACCCTATCCTGAAAATATCCAACACAAAAAAGGGCTGGTAGAGTGGCTTAAGTGGTAGGGAGTCTGCCTAGCAAACATGAGGTCCTGAGTTCAAATTCTATTACCACCCAAAAAAGAAAAATCAGAAGTAAGTGTATTTGCTTGGCAGGACTGTTGAGAATATTTACCAAACAAATACGATTGCTTTATATCAGTTGAGAGTCTACTCTTACATGTTAAAATTCAAATACTAGATGACCATAATGATATAACTTTTAATATAGTTAAGTTGTAATTAGAGTTCAGTATAGATGTAAAAAGAACTTTAATGACATTGTTTACTAACTGAATTGTAAATGACTAATCTTGTTATTTTAATATAGTATTATATTTTCTTTCATACTTCTGACATGCTCTGTAAATACTCATGTAATTCTTACAAAAATCTTGTTATATAAATAGTAGTATTTACATTTTCATTTTACAAATGCAAAATCTGAGAGAATTTAACTTGACAGCCAGCTTTGAGACCTGGTATATCTGTCTTAAAAATTTTGCTTTTCCTATATACTGTCAGATAATTAGAATTTTTGAATTTTGGACAGGTAGAAAGTCAGAGATTTTTAAGATGCTGGAGAGAGAAAAATCTAAAGGACTTGGTGGTTTTGCCTATTTGCTCATTATAAATAATTATAAAAGCCGTATTTAAACATACTGAATTATTTTAATTTTTTTATTTTCAGGTGATAGATGCATATTTCTTTTATGTAAAAGAAATGAGTGTAACTGCTATTGCATCAAGAGTTGAAACCTGGCTTTCAGCCACATGGCATGTTAAAGTACCTCTAATGTGGCTGGAAGCTTGTATCAACTGGATCCAAGAAGAAAATAATAATGTTACTTTGAGTCAGGCACAAATGAATAAACAAGTGTTTGAGCAATGGCTACTTACTGATTTGAGAGATTTGGAACATCCTCTTTTACCTGATAGCATTTTAGAAATTCCAAAAGGAGAGTTGAATGGATTTTATGCCCTACAGATTAATTCTTTGGTTGATGTAAGTCAACCTGCGTATTCCCAGATACAGACGTTGAGAGGAAAGAATACATCGAATGATCTAGTTACCGCTGAAACACAAGTTATACAAAAACCTTGGGAAGCAAAGTCTTCACGAATGTTGATGCTGCAGCTCACTGATGGAATTGTACAAATACAAGCAATGGAATATCAGTCTATTCAAGTTCTTCATAGTGATCTTCCTCCAGGTACAAAAATTTTGATTTATGGAAACATTTCTTTCCGTCTTGGTGTTCTATTACTGAAACCAGAAAATGTGAAGGTGTTAGGAGGTGAAGTCGATGCTCTTTTAGAAGAATATGCCCAGGAAAAAGTACTTGCAAGATTAATTGGGGAACCTGATCCTGTAGTTTCAGTTATACCAAATAATTCTGACCAGAACATCCCCAGAGTTACAGACAGTCTAGATCCTGTCTTAGGACCTTCTGATGAAGAACTCTTGGCAAGTCTTGATGAAAATGATGAGCTTGCCACAAATAATGACACTTTCCTGGAAAGATGTTTCGACATAGACAGTGCCTCAAATACTATTCCCACAAGGCAGTCGAGTTTTGAACCAGGATTTGTTACTTCTCCACAGCTAAAGGAGAAAACACCAAACCAATCTATGCATTTCAGTGATGGGGAATTAGATGACTTTTCATTGGAGGAGGCCTTGCTTTTAGAGGAAACTGTCCAGAGAGAACAGATGGAAACTGAAGAGTTGCAGCCACTGACTTTGAATAAAAATATAGATAAATGTATGGAGAGATTTACACACAAACCTAATACTCCCAATGATGTTTTTTTAATTTACAAACAAGGAAACAAGAATTGGAATGAAAAAAAGTTGTTTGAACAAATGACTTCTGAAGAGAAGTCTTTTGATTGTCCAGCTGCTAGAGACCAAAACAGTAATGTTTTTTCATGTCATCATAATACACCGTTAGCCCACGATTTTACAAATAAAGAAAAGCAGCCAGAGATAGTTAATAAAATAAAACAAACCATTAGCAGTTCAGAAGAAAATTTCTTTAGTAATAAAACATTAAATAGAGAGTTGGTCAACTGTGTACCAAAAAAGAGTTCACAAATTTCTGATGAAGATGGTCACCATTTATCAGATTATTCTTCAAGATCTTTGGAGACTAGTACTGATCTTCCTATTGGTATGGATTTATATTCTCCACCTTTTATCTATTTGTCTGTTCTAATGGCCAGTAAACCAAAGGAAGTTACAACAGTGAAAGTCAAAGCATTTATTGTAACTTTAACTGGAAAGCTCTCAAGTTCTGGTGGCATTTGGAGTGTAACTGCAAAGGTTTCTGATGGTACTGCGTATCTCGATGTAGATTTTGTAGATGAAATACTTACTAGTTTGATAGGGTTTTCAGTACCAGAAATGAAAAAGTTAAAAAAGGATCCTGTTGCATACCAAAAATTCCTAGAAGGTTTGCAGAAATGTCAGAGAGATCTAATAGATTTGTGCTGTCTAATGACTATCTCATTTAATCCTTCCTTGGGTAAAGCAATGGTACTTGCATTAGAAGATATTAGCATGGAGCACCTTGAGGACCTAAAGAAGCGGTTGAATAAATAATTTACCAAAATAGTATTAGGTAACAATTCAAAACAATAAGGAAATATTTAGAATTAAGTTTGATCACAAATTTATTTATTAAACTCTGTAAAAAGAAAAAGTTTCATAGGTTATTGCAATTTAATTAAAAATGTTCTATCATTTTGTTTTATGTATAGGCTTTTTCTTTCTTTAGTGCTAGAGATTGAATTTGGGTTTTTGCAATTGTTAAAGGAATTTGGTGACTGACTCTTGTTGAGAAATTTGTTTTCAGCCTGTCATTTCATATATAAGATGAGTTCTAAAGTATTACAGTGATGTTCCTTGAGGAGTCATATTATTGAAAGCTAATAATCATAAACATGTAATTTTACTTCTAATATGTTGTGTACCCAAAAAGATTTGTTTATATCATCATTCTTAGGAAAAATATTAAAATCCAGTGGATAGAATCAGACTTTCAGATGCAAATTTCTTTGCTGGTTTTTATTTTATTCATTGTAAATATTTTCTGGCATATTTAAGGTAAATCTTGTTAACTAGATACTGTTTCACAGATATGTTGAGTGATTTAAAAGCCTTGTTTCTAAGAACAGTGTATTTTAAATGGCATGTTGAAAGCTTCATTATTAAGTACTTCATTTATTGGATTAAAATAAGGCATTCATGTCTTTAGGTATAATTGTCTGCTTTCTGAATTAATTGGATTAATTGTACAGATAAGCCTTCCTTTAATTTTGTTGTAAGTGCTGATTGTCTTAAAGGGAGATTTTTTACCACTTTTCCACTTTGCTATTATGAAGTTATGTTAGAGAAGTAAAAGTTACATTTATTAATCTTTTATGTTAAAATTTTAAAGTGCCTTGAATTTTAAAACATTAAACAAATGCTTAAATAATAAAATGAAGGCATTTTGCTTTATTTTAGTGAAAATAATATAACAGGAAATATCTGGAAGATAAAGATGGAATCTACAAATAGAAGAAAAAGATCTTAAAAATATTTTTTTCTTGTTTGGAGGATGATAAGCAGAGGTCTAAGCATAAGAATACAGATAGTGCTGTTACATACTCTTAATCTTGTCTATATGTAAGTATATAAACAATAGGCAAGATTACTATTAGAGATATAAATGAGATGACATTAGCTTTCATTATCTTTTTTCCGTTTCCTCCTGTAGTCTTGTCACTGTGAGTGGTGCTGAAAAAACTGTAATTAGATTTAATTTTCTCCCTTCGTGTTCAATTATTGAAAAAAAGTACCAGTCCATCCTTCTATATTGGTTCTTAGTGCTTTGATTTTGTTTCTAGTCTTTTGTGACCTTGATTATTTTAGTGGTTTACTAATTGGTCTTTACCTTATTTTGTTGTCAAACCATTCTTCATAATGTTGCCAGAATAATCTTAGTTTTAATAAATTTCTTGTTTTTCATCATTAACCTTTAATATCAGTCTTCTCCACCCTCTTAATTTCAAGGTAAAGTCCAAATTTCTCATCTGGTTTATTCTTTTGTGATCTGGCTTGACTTTTTAAATTTATATTTATTTATTTATTTATGCTATTGGGGTTTGAACTCAGGGTCTACACTTGAGCCACTACATCAGCCCTTGTGTGTGTGTGTGTGTGTGTGTGTGTGTGTGAGAGAGAGAGAGAGAGAGAGAGAGAGAGAGAAAGAAAGAGAGGGAGAGAGATGGGTTTTTTGAGATAGGATCCTTGAGCTATTTGCCCAGGCTGGGTTCGAACTGCGATCCTGATCTCTGCCACCTGAGTAACTAGGATCACAGGTGTGAGCCACTGGTACCTGTCTCGACTTCTTTTTTTAACTTTATCTTGCTCCATTGCTCTCTCTCTGCCTAGTCTGCCCCTAAGATTTAGTTATACCAAATTATTTGTAGTTCCCCATTGTGTACAGGATATACTTCTTACTTTCTGATTTTAACTCCCCAAATCATATTTCCAACTGAGTTTTAAACTTCATTTACCCATTGTGGTGGTTCATGAATTCCACTCTCCACTCTCATGCTTTCCTGTGCCTCATGCAGACTGATAGGTATTGTGCTTTTTTTTTATTACTCCATAGCTATATTTTTTGCAGGATAATTCTTATAGGGGGCTGTTTTGTACTTTTTAGGATGTTTTGCAACATCATTGACCTGTACTCAGAAGATGCCCACAGCATCCTTTCTAGTTGTGGCAACCAAAAATCTCTAGACATTGGCAAATATTTCTTAGAAGAAAAATACTCCCACTTAAACATTGCTCTGTTGGGATGTAAGCTGCTTAAGTGATGTGATTGAGGGATTTGTCTTTGTTAACCCCAGTAAGTGTTTTATCAAACCAATCATCTTCATTCCCTTGCTTAATACATTTTTAGTGATTTCCCATCACACATTCTAATAGCATGGTACTTAAGATCCTGCATAGTCTCCCTACATGGTACCTTAAAGAGGTAAAGAAACAGATTAGAAAAATCTGCTCTATTATAAAGGCAGACTGTGTGAAGAATTGGCGTAGGTTCTGGCAGGGTGGGGAAAAATGGGTTTTAAAATTTCTCTGGGAATTTGTAGCCATAGTTCTGCACTTATGTGGATCTAAGCAGATGCTTAAGTTACCTGCATGAGAATCTCCAAACAGAATTTAACACAAAAAAAGAGTGATCCTAAGGGCAGTGGCAGGGAAGGAAAACAATGGACCTGATCAGATCAGCTTTCTCTTCCTCTTGAGGATGAATCTGTTTTCACAGACTATATTCCTTGTCCATTTTTTTTAAGTAATCTGGATTGGTTTGACACTGTTTAAGATGTGGTAAGTAAGTCTACCCAGTTCTGGAGCAACACATGAGGCTTTAAAAGTCACATGCTAGAAGAGAGAGAGGGAGACAGAGAATGAGCAGGAGAGAGGAAGGAAGAAAAAATTTCAGCAGAGAACTGGTAATTTAAAAATGAAGTGGAAATTCTTAAAATGATGTAATAGCTAAATTGAAGTCAAGTGAGTTTAACACCAGATGAAGAGAAATTATAAACTAAGTTTTCTTAGAAGAAAAAGATTCAGAATGGTGCATACATAGATAGGGATAGGAAAGAACCAGAAAACAACATAACAGAACAGTTAAGCAACTGGATCCCAGAAGTAGGGAATATTTGTAGTTAATTCTTAGGAATTTTCTGAAAATTTGGAAAATCATCAAGCTACAAATTTCAAAGACCACATAAACCTAAAGCAAAATCATCACTATGCAAGTATTACTAAGAAACTAAATAAAAATCTGGAGTGGTAAAAGAACTAAGGTGTATTACCTCCCAAAGAACAAAATGTGATGACTGACTTCTCAGTAGAGATGGATGGCCTCTTCAGAGTGATGAAATATAACTGACAACCCAAAGTTGTAAAATAAGGGTACATTTGACAAAATACAGAAAATTTCATACAAAAGTATTTCTTCCCTAACAAGCCCCCCACACAAGAAATTTTTCTTGAAGGTATGGCCCAACCAGTAGAGCATCTGCTTTGCAAGTGTGAAGCCAAGTTCCAACCTCAGTCTCACAAATAAATAAAAGAAAATTGTCTTTAAGCTGAGAGAAAAATGCTATCAAATAGAACCTTAGAGATGCAAGAAAGAATGATGATAAAGATAAATATGTGAATTAAATGGATAGTGATTTTTAAAACTAATGTCTTAAGGGTTTTCAAAACCAGAGGATGCACATGGAAGCAATAGCATATAGGGGAGGAGGATAAATGGAGTAAAAGTGTTTAAGAGCCTTATTTCTGATAGAAGGTTAAGTCATTTTATATTAAACTTGAATGTTCAGTGGTGTATTTTGTACTATTTAGGATAAGCACACTAGAATATTTTTAGAGATTATGTTACTATAAAGCTAATGGGCCAAAAATAGAATCACAAAAAAGAAAGAAATGAACAAAGAAAAAGTGACATGTAGGAAAAACAATTGCTGAGGTGGTAATTCAGATGTTTCAGGCATTAAATGTAAACAGGTGGGTTAAGGGGTAGCTGGTGGTTGACTGCCTTGCATCCCAATTTTGTATATATATATATATATATATATATATAT